AGTCTAACCGAACGACCGCATTGTGGGAGATGCGAAGTACTAAAAGTAATCTCATTAGAGAGGGCGCTCTTTATTGACTGTATAAAGTATACATAAAAGCGAGAGTATTCCAGTGGATGCGATCTACAACCTCTGAATTTGCCTAGTAACGATGAATTCGTCGAGAAAATGGTAATATTTTATGAGAAATAGTCTGTATTTCTCATTTTTTTATTCTTTTGCGTAAAACTAAAATTCATGCCAATATTTTTCCATGATTTATAATAATTGGAGTAATGCAAATGCATATTTTCTAAAAAAAGTCATTTTTAGTGAAATTTTGCCGGGAATGGGGCTTTAACTCGATTAAAAAACAACCTTGCGGAGGTAAATGTACTCAGCCATCACCATCGGAAAGTCTATGTAGTAACCGTCGTAACAAGTCTGTCCAAGTATCACGCAATGGAATGCGTCATCACGCGTGTTACGCACATGAAACATGCACTTTTACAATGGGTTAAAAATAGATTATCAACCTACATTTTTCAATTAGACATGTTTGAAATTTACATTGTATTATCAGATCATAATTATTCTACAAATTTTGTCTATATAAAACGAGAGGATCGATCACCTACACCTCTGGTGTTGGTCTATTCAAAAATAAATAATGCACGCCCCCTACTGAGAAATACGCATCCTGCGTGTAAACAATTCCATGTACGCAAACTGTGTGATGAGTCGAACGTGTTTAGAACACGATTGTTCGTTAGCGACGTGTTTCTTGTAAAAATGAGCCCGTGTTTTTCTGGACAGAGAGAAAATAATGTTTGATTTGTGATCTGATTTGGATTACTTCCTGATGCTACTGCAATCTAGCGATCAACTTTGTAGTGTATACAATTGGACCTACATTTTGGCTAAGATGTAGAATGGGATCCAGTCCCTCTCAAGTAGGCACGATTAAGCAAGAGGAAACTATAAATGTAGCCAAAAAAATAACAGAAGACAACTCTAAAAAAACTACGACGACGAAAATGTCTACAGAGACTGACGTTTCGTCCGAAAACTACGCAAGTAACAGAAAAAGACCAACTGTAGAACATAAACATTGGGACGAATGGGACGATGTCGCCACAGAAATGTCAAATTTAAAAGATGAATTAGACGAACTTCTTGGTATGCCATCACCCGTGAATATGAAGAAAAATGTAAATGTTCCTGAGCCTCTGACGTATCCAGCAAAAAGCTCGCCAGCAAAACCAATGAAAAAAGAACTCGGAAAAGGCAATACATGGAAGATGCCAGAGGAACTAGTAGAGAGGGAATTGAATGCACGGCACATGCGCATTCTAAATAAAATGAAGGAACTAATGATTGCATGTGAAGATGAAGACATTGATGATACATCACCATGGATACAGTCAATGTGCAGCGATTCTCCTGATGAGGCAATGGAGCCCAAATTGCCACGTCAAGACCAACTGAAGGTAACTTTTTTGGAATGTGCATGATATAGGCCTATGCAAACTTAATTATCAAGAAACGTGTTACTGTGTCCAAAGGTTGTCGACTGTATGCAGGCCTATGTTAGACTATTTTTACAAAATTATTTAATAGATTACTTATGTATCTCTGTTAATAAGGACCACAATGAAATTAAGTTTGACTATTGAGTTACTTTATTGTGTTTTTATCCTTGAATTTTGTTATGCTGTATATGAATTTCGAATAAAATGAATAACATTTTAAATTCACATCGCATTATCATTTTACGTTTTTCTTTCGATTAGGAGGATACGTCTAGATTTGATCCTAAGAAATTCAAGCAAGCAAACATATACAACAAGGTTAGCTGGGGCGAGAATACTAACATAACAATAATCAAATGCGGGTTCCAGACCCCTTCCCCCTCTCTACCCCACCTCCAGAATTTCTTTGAAAATTGCAGGGATCAATTATAAAATTCAAATTTAAGTTTGATAGTGCCGTTTCGGGCGATAGTGCCATAAGACGTATCATTTCGTATACCTAGCTCAGTCCCAACCATGATGGGGCTGAGGTAGTCTAGAACCACATTTCATGTGTTACCTCCCCGGGTCCTCCTTTTTTCGAATTCCTGGATCCGCCACTGATAACATTTAATACAACAATTTTGAAGAAAATATGCCCACTTGTAGTATGTATCATGGAAAAAGTCCCTTCCATTATTAGGTTAGACAGATTTGCTTTCTTAATATCAATCGTTTTATTCGTTGCCATGACAATGTTATAAGGACACTGTTGGTCGTCGTGATATACATAGAACTATAACAATGTTATGATGTTGTGTAAAATAATATAAAACTTTACGGATCGTTAATACCTTGGCAACACATCGAAGTTGTTTAATCACAATTCGCAGACGTGAAAGTTGTCATGACAACAGAGCAGTGAACGCAAAAAGTCGTGAAACCCGGCTTCATCATTAACCTAATGATCTATAATATATCATTAAAGTACAATTAGCATATACATATATTTTTTGACCGTGACAATAAGAGACCTTGTTGGCATGAATCGCCGTATAAGACTAAAATATTATTAGGCCTATTACTCAAATTCCCAGATTATAGTAGGTTATTCAGGACGGTATTGGTAGAGAACGCAACGCCACGACGCGTGCGCAGCGGATTGTTAGGGTTGACAGCACTTACGCGGATCACATTCGGATTCGTTGTCGACGCTCAGTGAGTCCGGTTTTACATGCAGTAGTAAGAGATTTATCAGATAATTTTAGGCCTATAATCATACATTTAGCGATGCAAGGGCATGGACATAAATTAATTTATAGATTATGAAATTATTTAATAGGCCTACAGTATATCTGGAATTGCGTACGACGAGTAACGGGAATAGAATAGGCCTACGTAAAGAACAACCACACCAGTGTAATTTATCCATTTCAATTGAATCATAAGTTTGACTAAAAAGTCAAAACGAAAATATATTTTGCGCGCAACACCGCGGTAAGAGACAGGGCACCAACAATGTCAACTAATAAAAAATAAATAAATAAATAAATAAACAGTGCTTATATTAAACACTGTATTAAGTAAAGTTAGGTAAAACCGTCATTAATTTTCGTTTGATGTTGATATTCGTTGTTTTATCCAAAAACAGAATACAACAGATTACAAAATAGGCTAAAACCGTCATTAATTTTCGTTTGATGTTTATTAGTTGTTTTATCATTGGTCAATAGTGAGCACTTACTCTACGTGGATCATGAAAGTATGCTAGCGTTAAGCTTTGTCTACACTATCAAATTGTATGTGACAAAAAAAATGTGATGTACCCATATATGGGTACGATATGACGTCATTTCACATATCAAATTGTATCAAAATAAGTTGAACGTGTTCAACTCTATGTTCCAACAAATTTTATGTGACGTTTTTTTTTTTTTTTTTAATGAAATTTGATAGTGTAGACAACGCTTTAAGCTATGTCGACAATTGTATGTGACAAGTGTGATATGCCCATATCAAATCAAACAGCCGGTTTGGTAAATCGTATTGACGTCATGCTTTCGTCTTTGTAAAATCGTAGGACGTTGTGATACAATCTGGGTAATTCGTAGTACGTCGTGGTGACGAATATTAACGTGAGTCGTAACTCTATCGTTATAATTCGTAACAGTGTCGCCACACTATCGCATTACTGCCGTAATACATCTTATTGACGGCGCGCGTCCTGGTAGCTTCTTGATTAAACCTAAATTCGATTTTTTAAAAAAATAATCTTGCTCCATATATATATGACGTCATTATGCCCATAAATGGGCAATTCACACAAATTTGTCACATAAAATTTAGATTTTATGGATAGGTGGATGTGAGAGACTAAAAACCCTGAATAAACATTTAATAAAACAAAAGTGGCGATAAAATTAATAGGTAAAATGTTTATCAACATTTTTTTGGCGTGTACAAAGTACACTTATTTTGCTGAAGAAGTGTACTGTGTGAACGGAAGCTTGATAGTCTCCAGCTTTGCTGGTTATACTAAAAATTTTGAAATTGCATTCACAGCGTACGAATGATTTTGAAACATTGTCTTCATCGACCACCAATCGTACAGGCGGCACTAGGTCCAGTAAGACGCCCACATCGTCTTCAGTGGAGTAAGTACACATTTTTTAACCAAAACAGTGTAAATAGTATGTTTTATCCATCATCATCAGTTCCAGCATGGGTGATGAGGTACCCTATACAAATCGCACTTTTTTTTTCAAACAGTGGCGTAACCAATAGTTTTATGGGAGAGTGCGCGTGTCTAATATCAAAGTGGCTGTAGTGGAAGCTGAGGCATCACAGGGTCGGCGGGTCAGAAACTTTAGGAGGGTCAAGAGTCAGTGGCGTAACGATGGGGCCAGGGACCCTGCGTATTTCTGAAACTGGGGGCCCTTTTTGGGTCCCGGTCACCAATTCCATCTTGGGATTTTAAATGTGCATTGTTAATCTAAATGTTTTAACGATGAATAAATGATATACTGTAATATGGATCCAGAAAATTGAGGCCAGGGAAGGACTTTCACAGTTGGAGAGTCTACACCCTCAGACCCACCATGGTTGGGGCTGAGGTAAGAAAATTTATGAATATGGCACCTTTAGATGGCCGAAAATGGCACTTCACAGACAGGAAATTGTGAATATAATTTACTTTTTATATCAAGTTAAAAAATATTTTGACAAATTTAGTGGGGCCCCGGGCCGGCAGCTCCAGGCCGGCAGCTCCAGGCCGGCAGCTCCCCACCATCCCACCACTCTTTATTCCGCCACTGGATATAATATGATGTCCTAAAGTCGATTTCAGACACACATTATGTTGTTGCCCTTGTGGGGCTGAGATAAAAAAAAATGTATTATTAATGGCACATCTAGATGGCCGGAAATGGCACTCAAAGACTTAAAATTGTGAATATAATTTTATTTTTATCTGCATTTAAATTTTTTTTGACAAATTTAGGTGGGGTCCCGTGCCGAGAGGAGGGCTCTGTCGGGCCGACGGGTCCCCTTCTCTTTAATCGTTATAATATGATATATGCCCTACAGTCGATTTCAGAGACACACATTATGGTGTTAGTTATCAACAAAGTCCTTTTTGGTCAGGGTGCTAGATCGAGGAACCTATGTGTAGGGCCCCTTCGGGGCCCCTAGAATTTGGGGGCCCTGCGGACCGCCGCATGAGAGAGCATAGGCGTTACGCCACTGTCAAGAGTACAAAACACGGCCCTAGAAAGCTCCCAAAATTTAGATTTAGATTGAAAGGCTTACGGTACGCCTAGTAGATAATGGTGAAAGTGGTTTGGCGCAGCGGAAGCGAGTTGTTCAATCCCTCTCTGTGCATCTTGTATGTGTAACATAAAAAACACCGTAGCACACAAACACAATCACGCGCGCGCAAGTATGACTTCTACTCATGAAAGCGAGTTGCTTAAACCATGATCAAATAACCAAGCGTTGTACAATCATGTTGTCTTTGACACATCTGAGGTCATAAGCAGTCAAAGTTCGAGTATTTAATTATGACTTAGGTCATTCTTTATCAATATAATGTGATAAAGTTTAAATTTATAAGGGTCTATCTATGACTAATACATAGCAATAATGCTATTTCCATTGCTCTATTATCATCTGGCTTGATGTTTCATAGATATATAGTCTATTTACTCTATATTAATAACAAATGGGACAAGAAATCCGTGACCACTTGTAATCGAATCCAACGAAAAGCATAGTAAATAGGTAGTATTTACACATTAAAATATCGAAATATCCGTTTCATTATTATTTTAATAAAGCTTGTCCCCTTCAATGGTCGTGTATCATCTTAGTTTGTTTACGTTTACATTATAATACACGCATACACATATGACTATAGATAATAATAATAGATATGCGCTAATATTCTCAAACTAAAATTGGTTGATTGATTAATTGATTTTTGTCTAACTGACTGAAGCTTGATTTCCATACAATCGCTACACGCTCTGAGTCGCCGACAGCTTTCGGTGATGCTGATTGGTCGGTCGAATCGGGGAGCCTTCCCGATTTCGTTGGGGGACTGGTATGCAGTACAACGATTGCACTGAAAACACTGTAGCGACAGTGTAGCGATTTTATGGAAACCAGGCTTGATTGATTAAAGGTGATATTTTTATTTCAACTCGTTCACGTTTTATTTGTTCACAGATCAAAGCCGCCCTGCAGATCCGAACTAGAATACAACAGCTCAGAGGAGGCACTTATGAAGAGCATAGAAAATGAATATTCATAGAAATGAATATTCATGCACTTTAAATTCAAAAATACCTTCAGAACCGTACTCATTAATACGTTTTCAATTGTGTTTTATGTATGAATCGTCCACGTATGGGTTCTTGACTCATTGAAGAAGTCGATAAATAAAATAAATACGACAGCAACCATTGCGACAAAAGACGTTTCGCAGTTCAGTTCAAATTACTTCAGATCATTAAAAGAAGACAGTCACCGAACAACACAATAAATAGGGTATTTGATCATCTCTCAAAACGTAGGACCACTAACCAACTCCATGATAAAGACTACATTCACACTGTACTTGGCATGACTGTCAAATGAAATGAACTGAAATTAACCGTAACACATTCCATTTTAGGCCTACAGAAAAAATCCACTACCACAATAGAGTATATCTGCTGAAAATCACAATAAAAATAACAAATCACATTGTATAACAAAGTGAATATCAAGAATATATGAATCATACCAGTGTTAAGGCTGTTAAAAATGATGTATTTTTATGTTAGGCCTATAACGGGATGATAATATAATTATGACTCACGACGATAGCATGACATTGATAATAGGCCTATACCTAATAATGATTGATGGTGGTGATAATGATGATGATGATGATGATGACGATGATGATGATGATGAGGTAAAAATGACGATGACGACGGTGATAAATAGTAAAATCCATGAGTGATATTTCTAGCACAATTCTAATCAATAGATATAAAAACTGTTGCATGATACAATGTGTGGTTGCATCTGTAATAATTATGATGATCACAATAGCGACATGTTATGGAATATTTTCTTTGTAAAAATCCATTACACAATAACCAATAGAGTTCATAGAGTAAAAGGACTAGTATTGCAAAAGCAGTCATATTGAGAATAAATTCTATCCTTCGCTATTTATACCCAAGGGAGATTTCGCCAGCTAACGAAAACGAATGACGATAATGAAGATGACGTATTCGTCATCATTTTCGTAAGGTTGCCGCAAATCTCCCTACTTACACTACCAAGTAGGCACACTCTCTACAGTCAGGGCACTCACAACAAAGTTAGTTTATATTTTTAATTTAAGGCAATATTATATTGGAAATTAATGAAACATCTAAAAATAGTTAGGCCTATCTAAATGTTATCATAATAAATTATATTTAGAAATCCATTGTATTTTATATAAACTTTGAAAGTAATCCTAAACAAAATTGGTCCATATCAAAGCAACAAAATTCAATTGAAATCACGATTTTATTCAAAACCACAGTAATTACACAGTATCAGGAGTCGCAAAGATGTCTTGGTTAACCAAGAACAAAGCCATAAGAAATAATCTATACTTTACTACATTGATTCTAGTTCATCGATAAAAATCACAATTAATAATATGCCACTATTTTATTGCACTTGAAACTGAATGACAAGGAATATACCATAAATAGGAAGCAAATATACAGACTCATAAACAAAGGCAAATCAACAACAGAGTTACCTTCATATAAAATGGTAGTTTATATGCCACTTTTTTGTCCAATTATACGATAACTTGTTTCTATTGTTCTGTAAATTTTAATAATATAAATTTTGTGAAAAAACCCGTAAAAATTTGGCTATAGCATAAGTGAAAGTTCTGTGGAGCTCTTGAAAAAATTCTGTAATAATCACAATTATCAAAATGTTTGGCTTTAACATGATCACCTGCATAAAAATAATTTTGATATGGGATGAATAAACTACTCTAAAGTATACAGTTGATAAAACCAAACTAAGAAATAATTCTTATAGCTGTTGTGCTGGTTCTATTGACTTGTGTCATCTTACTTTGTCTGTACCATGCTTCGAAATATAATAAATGCAGGTCTCACTCCAATGAAAAACCACATTTGGGACTGAAATTTCCATGGTCTTTACCAGCTTTGGTCTTAGAAAAAATATTATCAAAAAGATATAAGACAGGGCTTCATTTAGGGCTGCAGAAATATGGTCTTTAATTGGAGGTGATCTTCCATTTGAGGGGTCTTTAATTAGAGGAAGACCTGCATAATGAAAAGGGACATACAGTATTAGTACTACTAATAAGGAATACTAGTAAGGAAGCTGTATCTCTTGTTGGCTAATTGGTGCCTTTCATCCTGAACTGTTATGTAAATATCGTTGGTTACACCATAATGATCTATGCAGACCTAGTTTGTTCATTACCTAAAGCTCCATTCACACTATTTATGTGACAAATATCTGTGTCCTGTCCACATAGGAGGTATTTGTCACATATGAGGTATTTTTGTCACAGAACTTGACAGTGTGAAAAAGGCTTAAGGTTTTTAATAAACTAGTGCTATGTCCACACTATCAAACTTTATGACAAATTTGTGTGATGTGCCCATATATGAACATGATGTCATATTACACCCAAATATGGGCATATCACACCCAAATATGGGCAAATCACACCCAAATATGGGCATATTACACCCAAATATGGGCATATCACATTTATTTGTCACATAAAGTTTGATAGTGTCAACAGAACTGAAGAAAACTGTATGCTTTTTGATATAGAAGAAATAAAGAACCTCAGCTATCAAAATCTTAAATTACCAACCCTGTAATTTTCATGATCACTCTTGTCCCTGATAAGTGAATAAATTAGAGTGAATATTAATGTTAATTATAAATGCACAATCATAATAAATAATATTTGAAAGAGGCAATCAGAAATCGAATTATAAATATTTTCTTATTTCTAGTTAACATCTACCCCGATTATGTTTTTATCAAAATTGGGATATGGAAAACTCTTAGCAAATATGACCAGTAGACATAAACATTGCCACATAGAAAATACATTGCACAAGTAAATAATGGGGTCCATTGTATTGTGGAATAACATTACAATTAACTTTCAAGCAAGTAAAAGCAACAAAGGACTGTACAAATTTTAGTTCTAAAAACTGACTTTGACAACTGTGTGCTTTTTGACCATTTTCGTTTATGAATTAAATTAACGAAAAAATTACAATTGCTCAATATGCCCTGAATGCAGCCTCTAAAGTAACCAGACCATAAAAAAGTATCTGCATCACAATTAATTAATATATCGGCACAATTTCTTCAAAAGTAGAAAGGTCTAAACACAATTATTATCCGATGAGCAGTGTTAATTAAGACTCTGATATAGTGAAATAAGAACAACCTCATACATAAACAATTTTTAATGCCCTGCACCAAATCTGAGTAAATTTTTTACCAATTAAAATACAATATTATATAAATAGATATTAAACTACCACCACAAAATACACAAATGATTGCTTATAATGAATTACACATACAATATATCCCTGTAGGAAACCAAATGTATTGCTAATAATCTCGTATGTCAGTGCATTCTTAGTAAAGTCAAGTCTGATCAAACATACCATGAGTGAACAATGCATTATGTTTATACAACAAAGTCTCATCGAACATTGTTGAGTCTGGTAGATTAAAGAATCTGATAGTGTTTGTCCTAAAAGGGTGTGTGGTAAAAAAAGAGAAATATTACCATTTATAAATTATTACTATACACCATACATCCATTTATAACTAACTGTTCAATTTAAAATATATTAGTTATTAAAATTCAACGAATCCTGCATCTGGTTCACGTGAATCGGCTGAAGCGTAGATCTCGTCATAGTGCTCGTACACGGAGTTGACCATGCTTAGATTGTTGGATGTGCTTTGTGAAACTTCGTGACCTAACGCTTCCAACCCACTGATAACATCAGAAGATACACCACCTAAAATAACAAAATGTATGATTAAATTAGTATTGGTTTTTCAGATTTTAAAAACACTTTGATTCTACTAAAAACTCGACTTGATCGCCTTGGTTGCTGTGAACCAGGAAAGCACTAACAATACATTACCACGCATGTGAGATCGGTCGGTTAGCGCTAACTGATGTACGTTCGAATGCCAATGTATAACCCACGTGGGAATAATGAGAAGCGCACCGAGGCCTAGGCAAGATGGACTATGCAAAGCCCAAATCATCGGCAGCCCAACGCACTTTATCGTTGGGGAACAGTCTTAAGGTTGTCAAGAGAAACATGTTTAATATTCTGCGACGCGACTGTCCCTGACACAGACCTATTGTGTCAGTGTTTAATTCATAAAGACTTGACGCGACAACAAATCGTTTCAGGCTGCGTTAGATTGGATTGGATTTATTTGGCGTAAACACCAAGGATAGTCCATGAAAGTCTAGAAGACTGATTTCCAGTGGTATCCTTCAGTAATTGGGCAGTACACTGGGAGACAATCCTCTACTCTTTTCCGAAGAGTGTACTGTATTTTTTAACACGCACATGGGCCCATAAATGCAAACGGGACCAACGGCTTAAACGTCTCATCTGAAAGACGGTGCACTATTTTAACTTGCATTTCAGCCCTCCAGCTAAAGGAGTGGCAGCGCTGGGAATTTAACCAGGGACCTAAAGATCTCCACGGTTCAGCGCACACACAGTGGCTACCACCAGATTAGCCGTTTGAGCTAAGCTGCTCTCTGCTGCTAATCTGCTCGCTGTACGACGCAGTCTGAGTTGGCCTTTAGAAAAATATTTATATTATTTATAACATTCACCAGGCATCAGAACAGAAAATTGAAAAGATATTTGATGAAACAAAATGAGTATGTTAATACGGCATTATGTTGCAACACATTTCAGGCAATATTATTTTCTGTCACTCTACAGGTATGAATAATGGACTTCTAAATATGTGTTGCACTTCAGCCCTGAACAATGGATCGAGCATAGCTTACACAATTTAATATTAATAATAACAATAACACTGCTAATTTATATTTTATAAGGCACCTCAAAGAAAATAAATAATTTGGTTGGCATATCTGTGTTTATAATTTTGCTGAAATATCAAGTTGAATCAAATTTCTTTTAAATTCAGTAATAAACAATAAATCAGTAAACAATTACAAACTAATTTAAATAAATAAATAATATATTTCCAATTATGTTGTGTACTTACTTTCTGCAACTACTATATTTGGTTCCAGGGAATGGTAAACATGATCCATCTGATTGGTTGCTGTATCTATAGCTTCACCCAATGTGAGGAAAGAAACTAAAACTTGTGCAATAGCATCTATCGTATTGCTACCAGACTTTCCACCTATCGCCATGTGGGGTTCACATTTATCACTCAAGTCCCACACTAACGAAGGCGACTGGAAACTTTGAGGACGCTTTCCACCTGCTATATTGTTTGTCTAAAGAGAAAAAAATGACATTCAAATTATGTACATTCATTCCATATTTCTATGCACCAAACTGTAATGAATTGAAGACAAGTTGTTATGAAACTTTTAAGGTTACTTTTAAAGATTTACTGTCTGTCACAGGCTAAAAAAAATATAAAATTTAATTTCCTAGTTGAACTGCCTACTTTGTAAACAGTACACTCTCTGATTCGAGACCACTCCTTTAATTCAAAAACCCCTCTAATTCGAGACTGCTTTTTCTAAGGGCCAAATGATTATCTTTTTCTAAGGGCCAAATGATTATCTTTAATCTTTTAACACAAAGCCAACCCTTTGTTTGGAGACCAAACCCAGAGACCATCCCAAATTTTTAGGTCCCAAAGGTGGTCTTAAATGGAGGGCTAACTGTATTCCATTTAGTTTAATAACTTAGAATTGAAAATTAGATTGGAAGCTGTTAACTATGATCACTTTAAATGAGTTATTCAAAATTGTAATAGAATTTTTGAGGTTTCATGACTTTTTGGTGGACATAACATCTTTAATTTAATGACCTTTAACCTAGGTTATGATGAAGATATTAATCAACTTACAGTGGATTCCATTGCAGTTGTTTCATCCTTTCCTGCCCAGTAGAACTGATCCATTATGTTATTTAGTATAATACCACCTTCTGTCATTACTCCTGAGCCAAAATCAGAATTTAATGAGCTGAAAAAAAAGATCACAATATAGTTCAAATCCAAACACAATGTTATCATTACTTGAGCTTTTCAGAGACACACCAAACTTTTAACAAAAATTAAGTGCCTTAACTGTATATAGAATGGAACAATAACTGTATAAAGAAAGGAACAATAACTATTATTATGGAACCACCTCCCAAGATTTATTAAGGAGCCAATGTCACAGCCAAAAAAAGCATCTTTTCATTATTTAATTTGTCTTTTCTTACTCATTACATTTGTGTATAACAGTGCTCTGAGGGATGATTAAAGGGCGCTACATTAAAAAACATATATTATTACTATTATATTCAGTAAAGAAGTATAATATACTATTATAGTAGAAGTATAATATACTGTTATAACTAAATAATGATTATAAATGTGGATGAATCATTTGAGGTAAGATGTAAATATATATATGCAAGGGTTGTTATATCTAGTCCAGGTATCTCCCCTCATTTTCTTATCGCAAACCCCCCACCCCCTCCCAATGTCAATACTCTCAAACTGGGCACACACTGCCACAGCTAACAGGTAGCCGACTTAATTCAATAAATACTGCAACATGACAGGTTGTGCCAGTCTTTTTCAAGGACAATGCGCTCACACTGCTATTGAAAAAATAGCAGATGGTTTCATGTTGTCAAGTGTTCACACATAGCGAAGGTGGATTCGACATAGTGTGTGCCCCAGCTTTTTGGGTTAGACGAGCACTACTTTCGTTCAATCGATTTTCTTTGCCACAAAAGGCTAATATAATAAATCACCTAATGCTCTGCAGCGCCCTCTATGGTTTATACCATATACTTACTGCGTGATGGACACAAGATCATTGTTACTCTCATCCAAGATCGAGATGTGTGAAGTTCCACCCGATATCAGTGTATTGGCAAAGTCAGTATAATAACTAATAGGATGAGTAGACGTTGAATTTATCATCGAACGTATATTCTCTGCCGTGGTTTCACTACGAAAAGAACATAAATACCATTGAAATAAGTATCAGCTAATCTAGGGTTTGGCGCACCGGTTGCGGTGCGGCTTCTCAATTTTAGGGTCGGAGGTTCAATCCCTCGCTGTGCATTTCGCTTGTGCCCTTAGGCAAGGCACTTAACCTGTGGTTGTCTCTCTCCAACCAGGAGTACAAGTGGGTGGTAGCTGGAACGTTCAAACATAAAATGTGCTGATTACAGCTGCAACATTATGGAATTCCTCAAGGGACCTGAGAGTAGGTGTTCCATATGTGTTTGATCCAACGACCGGGGGAAATAGTGTTAAGTGCATAGAGGTCTCCACAATATGTGCTCTATAAGTTGACCATTATTATTATTATTACTATCAATGACTACAAAGATAATTTACATTGTTTTGTTACCTTATGATCAGCTGGTTGGTTCTTAATATGCACTGTAGATAAATTACCATTGTTTTTTAAATAAGGAAAAGCCTTAAACATGATCACACTGAAGGATGAACTTGATTAAACATTAATAATTTACGCTTGAAGTCAGGTATTGCATCATACAGTATATATTTGTATTTTTCTGTGAGATTTTTAATAGACTAAGCTTGACCAAACTGTTGACTGAAGAATTAGTGCATTTCCCATCCCAGGGTCGTGGTTCAATTCCTATCACGATTACATAAATTTTTTTCTCGTGCCAAAACAACTCCACTCCCTAAGCCTCAGCATCTTGTGTATATGTTTGAAAAAAATGAATATGTTCGCTGTTTGAAATATCCTTGACCTTTGTGCCTAAAATGTTTTGTTTGTAAAGCCAGGTACTCACGGCATCGTACAACGGTTGTACGACTGTCGCAAGACGAATTAAACTTCGTTCCCTGTGAGCGCTAGACGGTGCAATGCCGTTTGCTGATTGGTTGTGGCAGTCTAAATGGATCATCATTAAAAACGATCCGTTGCGAGCGCGTTGTCGCGTTCTTGCGTTCTTCATAGAATCGCATCGGCTGACAATCGTCGGACGCAGTGAGTGCCCGACTTTAGGCAACGTACCTGATCATGGCGTCCGTATAGTTTTCAACAGTGGTCACAAAATTTGGATCTCCTAAGTGCAACATCTGAGCCTTGGCGAATTTAATAGCCTGTGGAGATGTTAACGAACTGTTAAATTACCAGTAATTATTATACAAATAATGAATGTTTCTGAGTGCTATAGGAAGAATATTTTCATGAGTTGAAAAATTGACTGTTAAATTCAACGAGGCAGAGCAAATGAAATCATGTTGTGTTACCTCAATTGTATAGTGGTAACGGAGAGTTGCATCAGTAGACAAATTGTAGCCACTGAGGATCTTTAAGATGGAGAGCAGTCCAGGACCTCCACTTGGAGCTGGTGGACTAAAAATCGAGAAATCTAGATGGGGGAAAATGAAAAACAATTAACCAAATGCCATTCACATCTAACATTCTTATTTAGCAACAGTGATTTATGCAGTTTTTCTGTCTTGTATTGCAGCTAGCAACTACTCTCTTTGTCTTTTTGGTTGTAAATATTTAGTATAATGAACTAGGTTAAATACTAACAGTAATACACTTGTCAACTTTGTTTAAGTGTGAGAAAGAACTTTGCTGTGTAAAGCATTAACGTCGGCAGTGGTGTGTCTAGGATTCTAGAAATGGAAGGGGGGCTGATAGGGGAGTTGGGGGCTTGATGATTAGGTGAGAGAGTGCTAGCTTGCAAAATAAGGTGATTTGAGGTGATTTTAATCTACTTAAGTATTTTTTTTGCTTCAAGCATTTTCAATTGGTGGGGGGAAAACTGGGGGTCGACTGGGGGAGCATCCTCTCCTGCACAATCCTCTAGAAGATACACCACTGAACATTGTCCGACAAATTATTCTGTGCCATGTGTAAGTCGATCGGATCGATTTTGAGAATGACCAGTTATGAATAGTAAATATAACTTAGAATAATAAATTCCATGTTTTTGAGTTGCTAAGAATAAGAGAATGTAATAATGAACTATAAAGTGAAATGATAATAAAGAAGGAACACATTGAGATACACCTACTGGCATAATCCACTGAAATAGGTGTCGTTGTGAAGATGTCATACTTGTCGAAGTCTTTATTATCTATCAAGCCATCACTTCCATCAACCTATAATCAAATATGTTGGAAGAGTGAATAAACATAGTAAATAAATGATGTTAATATGGATGATGATGATGATAATGATGAATGAGGAGGATGGTGATGATGATAATGCTTAAACAGTATTAAAAACTAACAATTGTGGGTTTTTATATACCATTTTTTTTAAACTGCTATTTTTTTACTGGTCTCCTTTCTACCACTGAAAATGAAGATGATGATGATAATAAAGCTTAACAGTATAAGAATAACATTAAAAACTAACTATTATGGTTTTTATATACAATATTTTAAAACAGATTCATTTTTACTTGTCCCCTCCTACTACTGAAAATTGTTTTCTTTTGATCTACAGGAGTCTAAAAATTGTTTTACTTGGAGACGGGTAGCAATTTTGAGATATATAAACACTGACTTTTAAATTTAGCTTAGACCAGAAAAAAACATGATTGCCTCTTTTTAGGGGGAGGGGAGGGGCAGGTGTCACAAATTGTTTATTAATTTTCATTTTTTAAGAAAACTATACAGAATTATGATATTCTAAGAGAGAACTCACCACATTAAGCATATCTTTCTGGAGCTGTTCCATGAAGTAAGCCCTGGCACCATTGTGTCCAATCGTGTCCAGTGTGTTTGCAAGATTGGTCATTACTAGGGTGTCTCCAACCTGCAGTGGAGTTCCATTCGGCATGTAAAGATTTCTCCATGCTTCCGACATCTGCTCTGCATCAGTCGCACTGATTGCATTGGCTGGAAAATATCATGGAATATCGAATATGTTGAGTGAAATTGTATACTATTAAGTTGTAAAATGTGGAATAAACCTCAATAATTTATATAAAATATTGAATCAATTATACACATCCAATGTGACAGAAACAATTTTGTTTTTGTGACTTATAGACACCTAAGCTATAAAATCTGGAATATATCTCAAAAATTAAACTAAAACATTGAATTGAGTTTTTACCAAGAAAATATTTAAATTTACTGTATTATTTATGTACTATATAGCAGTAGCACTCGTACACTAATCTCAAAGCTAAGTCAGAATAAACTCCCTAAAACTATTTATTTTAAAAGAAATTTCTTTTTAAAATGATTATTAGTTAATATTGATATTGCATGCATAGAACTTACCGAGAGATGTGGAAACTTTGAATCCTTGCCGAGCAAGTTTAGATGCAGGGGCAACGAGGTCATTCCATTTCAACCTGAATGAACATGAAATAACATTAGGGAAAAACAATAATATGGACGGATCTCTACAACGGTAATGTTAATGCAAATAATTTGGTAGGTAAAACATAATCACTGACAATAACGTACCTTCCATAAGTATCGTATGCTGCTTGCATTCCGAGAAGCTCACCAGGTATAGCAATGGCTTTTGCACCCTGAAAACATAATGAAATTATATAGAGAGCAAAAAAAAAAACAAAAAAACAAAAAACAAAAAAAAAAACAATATGCAGGGATATTAGTAACTATAGGCCTTGAGCAAGTGTTTCCCAGTCTGAAGTTAATTTCCTGGCCTCCCACCCACCTTTATCAACCCCCTTGCCTATCATAAAAATCCAATCATATTATTTAGAGTTTAACAATGTTATTTCCCAACCCCCCCATCGGTCTGGTCAAGGCGCCCCATCGGCCAAAGCTCGTCGGGCAGTCGGACAAAAAAAAAAAAAAAAATAGGCCTAGTTTTCCCATCCCAGCCATTTCCGGCCATCTAGAAGTCCCATTTTTTTTTTTTTAATTTCGGTTCCGGGCTTCGGTCCTCAGATAACACTACGCGGTTGGACACTTTAGCCCCCCCACCCCATAAATTAAATCCTAGAGCCGCCACTGAACATATCCTTATCTTTCTACAGCTACAGCCCTGCCTGAGCACAAAGAATACATGTCTAAATAATGGTGTGTTGTTATTTGGGTTTGTTAATCACTGGTAGGTAATTCTTTATTCTATTAAATTGAGTGTATTAAGTTAATATTTACTGTATCATGCACATGAACAGATAATTTTAATGAACACAGGACCACTGGGATTAAAAAATCACATCCAGGAGACAGTGTGCTACAGTAACTTGTGTTACAGCCCTACAGAAGATGCATGAAACAAGAGATAACAAAATTGAACAAGGAGCCCAATGATCTCTAGATTTGAGTACACATATAGTACAGTATCTACCACAATGAGACTTACATATCGTGCCAATTCCGGGTTACTTTGAAACATATTTTCAGTTGCATTCAAAGGGGCCGCGGCTTGGAAGTCAAACACGGTACGACTTTCGCTGAAGCTATCATACACCATCATGAATCCACCACTATGCACGAATGAAAAAAAAATGAAAATAAATGAACAAAAAATATATGTAATTTACATAATATGTGATTTAATTAAAGTATGATACCACTATTCATAAACTACATTTACAGTAGAATCAAATTTTATTTGACAGAGCATGTGACATGCTCAAATATGGTCATGATGACATCACATCAAGACCTTGGCACATACGGCCATACAACAGTTTTTTGTCGAAGAAAATTTGATAATGTGAATAGAGCCAAAAGGCTAATATTCTATGCTAATAATTATAGTATATACAAAATATAAATATCTTTATATTATTTTACTACTATATGATGATAAATGATGTTTGTACAATAATGTGTTTACTTCAATTTTTTTCAAAAGATTTTGTGAACGGTGATAATGAAACTTACCCTCCAAGCCCAGCGCTATGACTGTGCACCACACCAATGCAGAACATGGTGGCGATTGCAGCATCGACTGCAGACCCCTTGCTCTTCAAAATATCGGCTCCAATATTGGAGCATTCTTGAGCGTCAGATGAAACAGCTCCATGGGGCACAACCTTCACAAAGACAAAATACATGTATAATACACAGGTGTCTTACTAATTACATGATTAAAAATACTGTACAGCCCTTTTTTTTGCAAGTTTTACAATTTCTCCAGTTGTTAACATAAAAATAATACACGAAGAAGCAAGACCGTTTCCATGAAATCTCTATTGAAGGAATATCAGTTCTATACGAGCTAGCCTATAACCTTGCTTTAGATGACAAAACTCATCATCCAGAATTTCGCGACCATTATTTTATTGCGAAAATTGCAAAAATTAAGGGAGCGTGAAAATAAAGGGCTATACATTAGGCTTCCAGCAGGAGCGTGTGGCTACTGTTTAAGTTTCTGTTTGGGCTACTTAAAACTCATAACCATTATAACCATCCTACAGTACTAGTAACAGATTGTTGACTTTTTAGTTCTTTCTAGGACAGGTCTAGACATCGCATCATATTTCGTCGGCTTACATTTGGTTCTATCTTTAGTTTATGGTGCATCCCATCATCCTTCCAACTAAATTTACACTTACAACTTACAGGAGAGATGATAGCAAAGTAACTGGAGTCCTTGGGTATGCCGATTCATTTTGGGTCCGAGAAATAGAAGGTTACCGACCGTACTGTAGATCTAAAGATCTCGCCGTTAACGATCAAATTTTATCTGACAGACTCAACAGAAAATGTTTGACCAGATACAGTAAGTCTGGTGAAATAGAGGAAAGTTTGACAAAGATATATAATTTACTTGATCAGAATTAAAAAAAACAGGCACATTGTACTGTACAAAATCAGATATTGTTTGATCAATCAATGTCTGTTGCATCTGAGAGACAAAAAACCTATTTACTGAGTGCATGACTTGTAGCTTCAGGAAGTACTGAATGTTTTCAATCATACAAAATCAATCCTGTAATTTGCAAGATGTGTATGTGTAAGTAATGAAATGTACAGCACTGTCATATAATACTCATCCCATTAGTATTGATTTTCCTATGCTTATATAAGAGTGGAACGCATTATGGCGACATTAATACTGTGTAGTTCTAAATATTGTACTTCAGTTGACACTTTATGATGCGCTTTCAACACGACCAAGACTGATAAAACCTGAAAATGCTATGGCCGTTGTAAAAAGATTGAAGAATAAACAGTACCGATGTCACTGTACTGTTCCTGTATTTATTCACTGTCTGAATCTGTATAAATACACACCTAAAGAACCACATACTCTACTGTTGTTTATTATCATTAAACATAATGCATAATTTTGTATTTTATATGTATTTTCAAAATAGATACAGTACAGTATAAAAAAATACAGTAATGCTTAATATGTACAGCCTTTGCAAGCAATATCAATGTTTCCAAAATAGAACCATTAACAATATATGATGCCAGCATAAGTAGACAAATTTAGCTTACTCATCAATAGTGGGTCAAAGGTAAAGGTTCGATCATACATATGCATTAGATTATACTGTACCAGTTAAAAAGAAGTAGTATATTAGTACCAGCAAATCATGTGCTACCTTTATTATATACAAATTTCTATAGCATGAATGCTTGTTATTTACACAATGATATAACTGTGGTTCGTTTATGAGTAATTTAAAGTTATATTAATTTCATTTAGGGTATTTAAATTTATTTTTTGGGTGATATGAAGAATCTTTTATGAATGAATGGTATCTTTTTATAATAGGTTGATAAAAGAATCAAGTTGGCATAGATTCTGATCTCCGCTATCCCTCGCATGTATAAAACAATGGATGTGATTTAATGAATTAATCATTCAAACTCAAAAAAATAATATCATTCATCATTAATCTGTACCATGCAATTCATATGATAAATTTGGCTTTCAGGTTCAATGAATCACATCTAACTGCTTGACATTTAACTTGAGTTGTGGGCTAAAAAGGTTGAGGGACAGGGTGATGATGATAATAATGATGGTAAAACAATAATGACAAATATGGAAGATTATTGATCTTATAATGTCTTTAAGCAGCATTTAGATATTTTTTGTTATATAGTATTATAAATGCCTTTTTCTTCACTGTTTGTTACTGTACACTCAGGGGTTTAGCCAGAAAAACGAAATAGGCCATCCAAAATACTGTATGCTTTAGTTTAATGCAACATTTGAAAGAGGCGAAGAATATAAAGAATTTCCTAAAGCACACCAGGCCCAACTAGGCTAAACGGAGCCGAGTAGGCCAAGCTGTCCAAGCCGTCACGGTAAAAATGGCCGTCTTAAATAATTGTCGGCCGTCCAAAAGATGGTCGTACGGCTCGCTGGCTAAGCCCTTGGTTACACTACTAATGAATCTGGACCTCTTGGGAGATCAGTACAAAAATGTATATAAAGAGTAAATAGTAAAATGATAATTAAAATTCATCGTCCATCCATACCTGTTCTTCACCCATCACAATAGTAATCACCATGGCAATGGTGATAGCAAATCCAAAAATAATAGAAGAGAGGATGATGACCTTGAGGCCATCAAAGCCACAGATGGTCTCATGTTGATATGCATGGGTATCCTTCAGTGGAACAGCTTCATGAAACTTGGGATTCCCATCAATAATCAGAGATTGTTTATCTGACAAAAAAAAAAAAAAAAAA